CGAGCTGCAGCTCGCCTTCCAGGGCCGCCTGCACGAGCGCCTGCACGGGCTCTTCCTCACGCGCTACACGGACCAGGGCCGCAGCAGGTGCGCAGCGCGCCCGCCCCGCGCGCCCGGGGCATGGCAAGCGCCTGGCGCGTGGTGTGTGGCGTGTGGCACGTGGTGTGTGGTGTGTGGCACGTGGCGTGTGGCGCACGGCGTGTGGAGCGTGCATTGGCGTGTGGGGTATGGCACATGGCGTGAGCACTGCCCAGGCACCTGCCCCAGGGATTTCCTACCCTGGCCTGCGCTAATGCATGGCGTGGAGAATGTGCTTGCCTCTAAGGTGAAACTTGCTGAATTCCACCCAAAGCTCTGTGGAAGCTGGTCTTCTGGATCCCAGGGCTGCTGCTCCTTTCCTGTTCCCTGTTGCATCCTTGATGTGCTGATTTCTGCCGTACCACTTTTTCTTGATTGGCTCTAATGGCTCCTTAGCAAGTGTTGGCCCTTTTCTCCCCTTCAATATCTGTGCTTTAGAGAAGCTTTCCTATGTTTTCCCCCAGTCCTTCATCAGTGCTTTTCCTTCTTTCACCCCAGAGCATTTTTAGGGTCTGTCAGGTTGGGTCTCCCTTTGCAGGGAGGGGTGCATACTGAAAAGGTGTATAGGAAAGGCAAAGTTCAGCATCAGGTGTTCAGAGACAACGTTGAGTCTCTTTGTTGCTTCGTCCCGCGGATGGGGGACTGGCAATACCTGCATCCAGTTCCTGGGAGTCACGCTCCAGCTCAGTCCTGTGCCTAAGTGTGATGAGTGTTAGTTCTTGCGTGTGAATGTCAGCTCCTGCCTGCATGCTCCATCTGTGAGGAATTAGTGTGGAGTTCGGGATTTGGGCAGCGGATTTGGGTGTGATTTTGGAGACGTGAGCGGGTGCACATGCTGTGCTGCCATGGGATGTGTCCTGGCTTGGGAAAGCAGGAATCCACCAGAGTGTTTGTCCAGTAGTCAACCACTTAAAAACTCAGCAGCCTCTCAAAATAATGCTGGTTTTTTTTTTTTTTTTTTTTTTTTCCCCCTCCTGAGAATCTTTCTCTGGATGAATTCTGCATGTGAATTTCTGCATGAAATTTCTGCATGTGAAACTTGTTAAAAATAATGAAACGTAACACCATGCTTTTAATAGAACATGTTGAAGACAATTTTCTCAAGATAGAGACTTGAAGTAGAGGTAGGCAAATGGTTCATTAAAAATCACTATTTTTTAAAAAAGTGATTAATGATATAGTGAATTGCTGAGGGTTGCACAGTAGGTTGAAAGAAGAATGAAAACTTGTGAAGTTCTTGTTTCTCAGTCAACAAATAACCTTGCCACCTGCAAGATCTATGTGTACCGGCCCCTACAGGGGTAATAGTAATGAGAAACCCTAAAATAAAATTAATTTCTTTTTATGGAAACAGAAGAAGATTGTGTGATTTTTCCATAATAATGAGTACGCATTTCTACTGCCAGCTCTTATGTAAATCCTCACTAATACCATTGTCCTTCACATCTGGAAAATGTAACTTAGAAGACTTTTTTTTTTTTTTTTAAGAGAAAGGAGGTAGTGGTAAGTCAATTATTTAACAGAAAAAAATACAATCCGAAATTACTTTATAAAATATGTTCTGTTTTTCTTTAATTGTTATTTTGTCGTTCTCAGGATTACTTATCCAGTTTTTGAGTTTGTTTAGGAAAAAATTGAATGCTTTGCTTGATTTACATTTTTAAAATTAATGTTCTAAATAAGTGAGAGTGGAATGAGCATGTAATTATTTAATGCTACATCACATTACTTTTTAATACCATATTAATTCATCCAAATCCTACCTAAGAAACCAGACTGAAACCTACTGCGTAAAATTCAAAGGATCTAAAAACTGCCTCTGTCAGCTTTGTTGGCACGTTAGAAAACAGGAAGAAATACTTCAAAATTAAACTGTGCATATTTTAATCATTTTAAAGAGTTTAAAGGATTTGTGACAATTGTTCCGTTTTAATCTTAACTTGTCAAGAAGCACTAACAAAATGTGAGACTGCCGTCTGGTTAAAGAGATAGATGCCAGCAGTATTCAGACTCTGGAATAAATCAAAGAAAATCCACTGATTGCAGAATAACATATTGTTTTGGTTACTTGTTCCTGCTTGCATTCCTGGTACTCTTAAATGGGTTTTGCATATCTCTTCTGCTTCAAAAAGGCATTCTCTGAATTCAAAGCATGCAGCAGTGTCTTGTTATTTTCTTCCTTTTCTGAGGACTAGTCCTCCTTTCACCATAGCAGTTTCCTAATTGCCTTCCTCTTTCAGCGAGGGTGCATGTTGAAATCTGCCTTTTCTCTGCTCCAACAATCTGCTAATGGTGTAAGAAGTTGACATCTGATGGAGGATCTGACAGGCCAGGCGCTGTTTAGTGGCATTCAGTGTCTTGCTCCACGCTGTCAGTACAAGCCAAGCGCCAGCTGCACGGGGAGGAATCGCTGCCCGCTCTGGCGGACCCCATGCACCCGTCCCTGGCTTTTCTGAAGTGACTTTCACTGATGCCCAGCGGGCCTTTGGGGATCCGATTCCTGTCTGGGCTTCTGGCCTCGCTTGTACCCTGTGAGACCAGTCAAGTCCGTAACTGAAACCAGCTGTAACAAAGTGCCGTTTATCTGCAGTCAAACAGATTCTTGTACTTCTTGTATGTGCTGGAAATTGTAGTGGCTTTTGTGATTTGTGCTTGTGAAACTGCTGGAGTCTTCTGATTACAGGGGGGTTTAAACTCCGAGTGGCAAACGCTTGGGAGGTGGATGGATCCGAGAGTGAGGCTCCCCAAGCCTTCATTGGGTCTGGGTTTTGGCAACTGCAGTTTTCTTGGTCGGATGTCCATGTTGCCCTCAGCAGGTTTGCAGAATCAGCTGATGGACACATGGTGCTGTTCCCTGTTCTGCCCAGGCTGGGGCTGAAGCACGATGGCAAGGTAGTGTGGGCCTTGAGCCTGTTTTCTCTGGAGAAGAGAAGGCTGAGAAGCAATATGATTAACACGTGTAAGTTCATGAAGGGGGAATGCAGGGAGGAAGGGGCCAAGCTCTTCTCAGTGTTGGCCAGTGACAGGAAAAGGGGCAATGGGTATAAGTTCAAATACAGGCAGTTCTACCTCCATGTGAGGAGGAACTTCTTTCCTGTGAGGGTGACAGAGCCCTGGCACAGGCTGCCCAGGGAGGCTGTGGAGTCTCCTTCTCTGGAGATCTTCCAAACCCGCCTGGATGCCGCCCTGTGCCCCGTGCTCTGGGTGTGCCTGCTGGAGCAAGGGATTGGACTGGATGATCTCTAGAGGTCCCTTCCAACCTCAACCATTCCCTGATTCTGTGAGAGGGTTTTTTTTTTGTTTTGTTTTGATTTTTTGTAATGAGAAGACTCTACTACTTGCAGAAAACAGAACAAACTCAACCCGAATGGTACTCAGTTTCCAGGGCAAAAATTGCTCGTGATCAGTTGGGTCACTGGCAACAACTGCCCGTTCTTACTCCTGACAGTTGGTGCTAAGACACCTGACCTTACACCCAGCATCTGTGTGGACACCATGCAGCCCATATCCCTTATTAACAGAATTATGGAATCATTGAGGTTGGAAGCACAATCCTTAGGCGAACATTTTTATTTTATTTTATTTATTGCGTACCTACCAAATACTAGACTGCTGGAATGTCAGAAAGTAGGATTGGAAATGGCATCGGTACAGCTATTTGTGCCTCAAAGCGGGGAATCTTGGACTTGACTTTGTTTTCTGTGATTCTGTGTGTAAAACAACTTTATGGTTTTTTTTTTTTTTTTGATTCTGATATGGTTTTTAATGTGGAAAAATACATCTGTAAAAGATGTTAGCACAAGTGTTATGACTTGCAAATAGCATTGTTTTAGTGAGAAGGACATTTTTAAAAGAAAAATCTGTTTATATCAACATAAAACATTTCTTTTACAGTGGTTTTTTTTATTGGGTGAAATAACACTCCCTTGAGTGTACCTGAGTACACTGAGTACACCTGAAACTTACTTTCTTTTTCCCTGTTAAATACACATCAACTGAAAAATAATCGACTCAGTTTAAATTGATAAAGTTTTAAGCTGAGACATCCTTTTTTTTTTTTTTTCTGTTTGGTTCTTCTTATTTAAAAATATTGTGATTTTGTTCTTATTTTAGTAGGATGAGGAGACAGCGTTATGTTTACAAAAATCATTTTTTAAAAAAGAAGATGAATCAGTGCACAAAACTGCAGAAGTAATGGAGGAACTTACCCGCCTCCTTATGCAATATTAGGCTCTTTTGCAAGTGAAATTCCCTGTGGGTAGCTTGTTTTGTGATAAAACTGCAGTGTGCGGGTGATTCACTTTATACTAATACCTCCACCTTTTTTAAAAACAACCCAAAACCCCAGATGTGACTCATTTTGAGAAGTGATGTGAGGTAGTGTTTGTGAAATAAGTTATTTGTGTAACATGCATGAATCCTTCTCATTTTTCTTCTTACTTGGAGCCTCACTGAAAAATAACATTTTAATCCTTCCTCATATTTCTTTTTTGGCTTTCTTTTTTTTTTTTTTTTTTTTACGATTGTGCTTCAGCCCCGTATATATATATTTATATGTATAATGTTGTGCTCTTGAGCAGGAATTCTTGTGGTCAGAAGACCAAATTTGCTGTGTGTCTGTGTTAGTTTCTGCTGGCAAAGAGCCCCCAGAGGCTGTAGTTCCCCTGGTGCCGACAGGGTTGTTCAGCCTTTCCTGTTGTTTTGGTAGGTCCCGTGCTCAGCAGATGCGGTCGCGCTGGGCATGCAGTGCTCATCCTGCTTGCTGCTTACTGCATAGCTGTTGGTGCTGCCCCTGCAGCCCCCGGCATGGTTGTGGTAGCTCTGTGCTCAGCCTAAGCCTCTGTCAACCTCACGTGTCGAATGCACTCGGCTACTGCTGAAAAATATTGACGCTACAATGATGTTAAATGCAATGCCATGAAAAAAACGGATCATGCCGTTCTTGCAAGTGGTAGCTGCTGGAAATGCCATTTATGTGACTTACTTTGAAATCTTCTAAACATTGTAGAAAGTTTGATTGTCTTCAGTGATGTGGTTGCATGCCTTTCTGTTCTTCGGTATTTAGCATGTACATTATTGTCCACTTCATTCAAGTATGTGTAAAAGTCTGTCTCTTACAGTTTTCAGTGCTTTAAGTAGCCTTTGGCTCACAGGTTCCCAGAAAGGTGCTTCACTGTGAACTGCCCAGATTTTTAAATTTATTATTATTACTATTATTTTAATTTTGACCACTCGATACAGTGATTTTCTCTCTTTATTCCAAGCACTTTGTGACAAAGATCTGCCCCAAGCAGGGCAAATGCAGAAAAAGAATACTCTGCACCCTGGCACCACTTTCACTGTTTTGTTTGTTTTTGTTTTGTTTTAATCTGTAAGGTTTGGCTGGAATTGGCAAATGCATATATTCATGGTTAGCCAGCAGATAATATGCTTACCGTCTTTTAATAAAATGTATTGCTAAAAAAGCCTGCATTAAAGAAATGAGCAGCTGCACACAGAAGAGATTCTCATTTGGAAATGAAGGTTGGGCATTGGATCGCTTTTTGAGGACTTGCCTCCTCTATTTAAAACTTTAATCACTATAGTCTTAGTAATCAAACTAGAAAAGCTCAAGTAGTCAAAATATATCCAGAAAAGCTCATGAAGGGGAAAAAATGTAACTCAGTTAAAATAAAACAAAAACAAAACCCACTTTTATTTAGAAACCTCCAAACTGAGCTGTCTGGTGGAGAGAGGATTTGATCATGACTTTAAATAATAACCAAGTATCTTCTCAATCTGTATATGTCTTTTTTTTTTTTTTTTTTTGGTCTCATTTCATATTTTTGTGCACTATGAGTTCATTTCCACCAGCTGTAACATATTGGATCAGTCTTATTTGTGTTTTCAATATAGAATGCTGATTGCATCCCAAATGGAACCAACATATGCCAGGACAGTTTATCCATGCTTTGATGAACCAGCCATGAAGGCAACATTCGATATCAGAATCATCCATGACCCAAGCTATGTAGCTCTTTCCAACATGCCTGCTATTGGTAAGTAAACAGCAAGCAGGCTTCTCTGTGCTTGCCCTTCCTGCCTGTGAATTTTTCTTTAAGAATGTAATTCTTCTTAATAGTAACTTTATCATTCTATGCAACAGCATTCTGTTTTCCATGGGCTAATGCTTTGCACAGGAAAGCATGGAAAATGCTTATAAATTAAAAAAAATTCTCAGGCAAGTATTCATAATTAATGAATACTCTGACAATAACTGAAGATGTAACAGTTGTGATGTGCTCTTGTCTGGTTGCTGAGGGCTGGACATGGCTTGATTCTTAACATTTATTGAACTGCTGATGTATCTTGCTGCATGACCTGCCCTCAAAAGACAATGGCAATTCCAGAAGTTTGTGGAAAACCTTTAATTGTAGCATTCAGGAATTGTTTTTATTTTACATAGGTTTTTAAAGGTATGTAGATCATACAAAAATGTATTCTACGAGGCAAGGAGACTGTAATTTCTTGTGTGTATATATATGCAATAAGAATGGCATGTAATTACATGTAATTCTTTGGCAGAGACCCTCCTCTCCCTTGCGTGTCATTGTGTGGAGTGCAGGTTCAGATTCCAAACAAATTCCATAAATTAAGATTCCTTCAGAAAGCTGTTGGATCTCTTGCCCGCTTCTTAATTGATCCTTTCTTTAGTTCATTGCCACAAGTCTTTTTTTTTTCCCTAAGCTTTCCTTTTTATTACTAAAAATTATTTATGAGATTTGCATAGAAGTTAAATAACTTGGGAACTGTAATATATGGGATCTCTGCAAGAATAGCTTGGAATCTTGCTCACCATTGTTTTTTCTCTCTTTATATAGACAGAAGAGATCTGATTAAGTACTTAGTAAATCTTAGGCACACGTAACTTGCATTTGAGTTAAGGATGGTCATGCCTCGTATCTGCAGCATAAGATAAATTGTTCAATTTGTCCACATCCGAAACTGATGCAGTTTGACACACTGTGGAAGCTTGAGCTAAGAAACAAGTGCATTTTTTATTGTTTGCCTGAAGGGTTACAGCTCTGATACAAGATTGCAGCCCCAAATCTGGCTTCTTGCTCATTGCCAGAAGCATATGGATTTAGTTTAGATCTACAGTGTATCAGAGAGAGGTGGAAAAAAACATGCAGGAAACCATTTCTTGTTTGTTATGCAAGAGTCGTGGTTTGAATATTTCTTTCATACTTTTCTCTTAGATGTTTCTGAAATGAAGGATGAAAATGGAAGTGTGTGGGCCATTACCACATTTAATACTTCGCTGAAAATGTCAACTTACATAACTGCTTTTGTGATTTGTGATTTTGATTATGTCACCAGAACAGAACGAGGAAAGGAGGTAAATATGAGGGTGCATAAAACATTACACAGTGTACAGCAGGAACTGGCTCTGTGCTGCATCATGTGCTTTAGAAGATACTGCAGGTATAAACTGTGCTTTCCATCCCAAATGTATTTGCTTGAGGGGGGAAAACACAGTTTTCTAGTATAATAACTAGTGTTATAATATATATATGTTATATTATAATAGTATTATAATCATTATTATCCTGCCCTACAATTTGGAGTTTGATACAGTTCTACAAGTGCTTATTTTCTGTGTGTCTTGAAACCTCAGGGGGTGACGGCTCTGCATACATTCTGGTCTGGATCTTCATTCTGGTCTGGATCTTCATACACTGTTAGCTTTTATAACTGCTGCTCTGACTCAGTGATGTTCAGTCGCTGGTAATGACCTCGGGAGGAGCAGTGCTGATCTCCAAGCCTCTTATGGACTTGCTTTTCTTCAATGGGCACATTTTTTTTAGCTTTCAAAAGTAACTTTTTTTTTTTCTATTTGAAGCTTCCTTATACAGCGAGTATTCAGTGTTCCTATTACACTGGAATACTCTTTGAGAGAAGCTGTAAAAAAATACTATAATGGCTTTAGTTGTTCAGTTTGCCTTCTTTTGTTAAAAGCTAACAGAACAGGTATGTTAGATCTATGGTTACTTCATTATTATCAGAGTGAGAGGACAGTGCAGAAGTACAGCAGGAAGCACAGCATTGCCTCCGTATAAGGGGGGAGCTTGGATTTGTGTGTCATATCTGCTGTCCCTTGCATGTAACAAAAAATGCTCACAGCTCTGTTCGTGGTGCCTTCTGGGTCAGCACCAACTGGTAAAGCAAAGCAAAGCAAAGCCTTCACACTGTGCTTTTCAGATGGTGAAGAGGCTGGAGGCCTCCTGAGTCGTGCTGTTAAGTGGAGCCAGAGGGGATCTTACCCTTAGGTTTTTGACCCAGGTGCTCTGTTTATCCCTCTGTGTGTCTGTAAATGTGAAATGCATTGCACCTGTTTTAACATTTCCAGTGATTAATGTACAGTCCCAGACACCTGTAATACAATTCAAAGATGACTTTCAGCTTAGGATTTTGAATCTATCTGTTTTATTTAGCTGTTTCAAACTTAAGTGTGGCAGTCTTCGAAATGCCTGAAGCCTTGGCTGAAAAGAGGGGCTCAGAGGCTGAGGATGGCCTGCTGGCTGATTTTTTTTTTTCTTCTCTTTGTAAATGTATATCCTGATGTTTCCACAAATATTTGAACAGCAATTGCTATCTAACCATTAATTTCTCTTCAGGGACCCAGTGGTAGGCTGAAGGAAAATTTGTCCCCCAGGCTCACTGTCTGGAATACACGGTCTTACGATGTGTGCATTTAAATATTTTTGAAGCATTTCATATTTAATAAAAGCATGCTTAGGAATCCACTTGCTCTAGCAGTGTATATATGTTTTCAACTCTTGGCTCCCTTGAAGTACAGAACTCTCCAGGATTTTTGTGGGATTAGGCACTGCTTCATTTTTTGCTAGGTCAAACACTGTTTGGGTTTTTGATGAAAGGCTTTATTGCATGATTAGAAATTGGCTGGATGGATTAGGAATTGGCTCGATGGCAGGGTGCAGAGAGTGGTTGTCAATGGTGCGGAGTCCAGTTGGAGGCCTGCAGTTAGTGGTGTCCCCCAGGGGGTCAGTTCTCGGTCCGGTCCTGTTCAACTTATTCATTAACGACCTGGATGAAGGGCTGGAGTGCTCCCTCAGCAAGTTTGCTGATGATACCAAACTGGGAGGAGAAGCTGATAGCCCTGAGGGCTGTGCTGCCATCCAGAGGGACCTGGACAGACTGGAGGACTGGGCGGCGAGAAACCTCATGAGGTTCAACAGGGGCAAGTGCAGGGTCCTGCACTTGGGGAGGAATAACCCTGGACACCAGTACAGATTAGGGGTGGACCTGCTGGAGAGCAGCCCTGCAGAGAGGGACCTGGGTGTCATGGTGGACGACAAGTTGGCCATGAGGCAGCAGTGTGCCCTGGTGGCCAAGAAGGCCAACGGGATCCTGGGGTGCATTAAGAAGAGCGTCTCCAGCAGGTCGAGGGAAGTGATCATCCCCCTCTACTCAGCCCTGGTGAGGCCACATCTGGAGTACTGCGTCCAGTTCTGGGCTCCCCAGGACAAGAGGGATGTGGAGCTGCTGGAGAGAGTCCAGCGCAGGGCTACGAGGATGATCAGGGGCCTGGAACATCTGCCCTGTGAGCAAAGGCTGAGAGAGCTGGGCCTGTTCAGCCTGGAGAAGAGAAGGCTGAGGGGGGACCTGATCAGTGTCTATAAACACCTCAAGGGAGGCAGTGAGGAGGAGGGGGCGGCCTCTTTTCAGTGGTGGCCTGGGGGACTAGGGGAAATGGCTTCAAACTGAAGCATCGGAAGTTCCACAGGAACTTAAGGAAACACTTCTTGACTGTGAGGGTGACAGAGCCCTGGCACAGGCTGCCCAGAGAGGTTTTGGAGTCTCCTTTGGAGATCTTCCAAACCCGCTTGGATGCAGCCCTGTGCCCCGTGCTCTAGGTGACCCTGCGTGAGCAGGGGGGTTGGACTGGATGACCTCTGAGGTCCCTTCCAACCTTGTGCATTCTGTGATTCTGTGATTAAACGTGGACAGAAAGCATTTTCAAATAATGATTCACAAAAGAGAAGCAAAGAAAATGAAAATATAAGGGTTGTCCAAAAATAATTCTTCCTTATTTTATTGCAGATACGTATTTGGGCTCGTAAAGAAGCAGTTAAAAATGGGTATGTTGACTATGCTTTAAACATCACAGGCCCAATATTTTCATTCCTGGAAGACTTGCTTAACATCAGCTATCCTTTGCCAAAGACAGGTGAGAAAAAATACTTTTCAATCCCCTCTTTTTTTAATCATCTAGTGGACCAGAAATTGTCACTGATTAAATACCATTCACAGAAAAAAATGGGTAGCCTTATAATGTTCTCTTTTTATAGCCTTATAATGTTCTTTTTTTACAGTACATCACATTCATGGAATAACCCCCTTAATATTAAATTTACTGATTTTTCTTGCTTTTATTAAACCATAACTTTATCTTCAGATCATGCTTATCCCTTTAAATCATCATTTCCTAATACAGTGGCACATATAGCTACAAAGTGAATAGAAAAGGGAAAGAGCTTTTTTGTCACCTGGCTCTTTCTGCTGCCCACACCATTCTGGGCAAGTGTGCTGTTGTGTTCCTAGTAAATGCATACTTGCAATGAACCATATGCCCTTCAAACATTCTTTACTTTTCAGTATGTCCTTGTCTAACATGTGCATTGGCAGTGTGTTCCTGGAGGTAGATTCCAGTAGGAAAACATTATTTTGCTTTGGATGGGACACCAGGTAAGTTGCTGAAGTCAAGTTTCAGTCAAGAAAGAAGGGAACCATCATGTGGTTTAGTTATATAGCTTGCCATAGTCCTTAGATTTGTATTCACAAGGGTTTAGTTAATTAATACTGTTAGTATTCGTAAATATTAAAAATACTTCCGGGGAGCAGCAGTGCTATTGGGGAATTTGCTTTTTTATGCTTGTGCTCATTTTGAAAGCACAGAAGACAGTGCTTCATTTAAATGATTTTAGTAGACCAGAATTTTTTTTTTCTACACTGTTTCTTAAATAATCTTTTGAAATTAAAATCTGTATTTTGGCATGTGAAAGAATGAAATTTTCATCTGTGTAAATGCATAATCTCCCAGTTCAGAGCAACTTACAGAATTACTCATCACACCTCTTTTGGAAAATGTAATATATGCAGTTGTTACTCTTAAACACATTTAAAATTAGAAATATTTGGGGATTTGATCCAGATTTAAAGCTGATGTGATGTGTGCTGCTAGATGTGTGTAGCTGCATAATCCAAAGTCAGAGAGGGTTGGTCAGCAAGAGTCTCAGCCTGAACCAGGAAGCCTAACACAAATGCAGTCTAGTTTTGCTTGAGTTCAGCACTGTGCTCATGTTATCTTCTGGTCTGGGACTAGTCCTCTATTAGGTGTTTCGAGGTACGAGTTTGTGTCTGCTTCCAGCATGCTCTGTACACCTGCTACGCGTTTGCCCTTCGCTACCAGGTTTAAACAGAGGGTTTTTTTTTTTGACATCTTTGATGTCTGTCCAAGAGCCATCTCTGTTTCTTCTCAACTGTCATGTTTGAATAGGAAAATTGCTCCCTGTTCTTAAGGCAGAAATTGTACAGAGGTAACAACTTTGCTGGTGAAATAGAGATAATGCTTCTAAGACTGTTTTAAAATAGTGTAAAAAGGATCCCTTTACTTACAGACATAAAAGAAAGAGCCTTTTCTTACCAATTGCAAGGCTGAAAAATAGAAGGGACAAACACGATTCCTTCTGTCCCCAAATACAAGAAAAATTTATAAAAAAGAAGGATATCTGAGAGTTAGAAATGAACTGGTCATTGCTAGCATGTGACATTTTTTCCTACTTTCTTCAAAAGAGCTATATGTAAGAGAGAAATTTAAGGCCTATGTTTTGTGAAAGTCTATTTGAATTTCTGAAAGACTGGCAATTATAAATGAAAAACATGAGAACATTTCACAGCAATTTTTTCAGAGTATTATCACTATCTAAGAAAGAATCACTGAAATGTAGCATCTTTTAATTCTATACTGGATAAGCGTAGATGATCTGTTTCCATTTTATTTCTGAAAATTTTAAAGATGCCTTTTTTTTTCCTCTTTGGATTGTTTTAGATCTGGTTGCACTACCTGAATTTGAAGCAGGTGCTATGGAAAACTGGGGACTAATGACTTTCCAAGAGTCATCCTTGATGTACCTCCCGAGAGATAAATTCACAGGCAGAAAGGCTGTGATTGCCATAACTACATCACATGAGATAGGACACCAGGCACGTGGTAAACAATTTGATACACATAACTTGTATATGAAGTTATTTCTCCACTTGCTGATGTTGAGAAGTTATAGAGTAATGGGAGAAAATTGTGACTTAACTTTAGCGGAGTGTGAGAAAATTCATGGCAAATACAGAAGGAACTACTAAAATATTAACAAATACATATCCATGGAGCAGTAGGAAGTTGAATTCAGTTCAATGAAATTGAATTTGGTAGAATGCCACACTAAAAACAGATATGAGATGTAGGGGTGATAAAGTGTACTTATTCTCTCTACTTGGTACTTCAGTGGGGCATGAACGGGCATCCTTAGCGGGAATTCACATAGATATTGCAAGAAGTATTTGGTTTTCTGTAAAAAACACCTTAGGAGTGTTTTTTTTGTTGATCTTGACAGAACAGGGGAAAACCCTCTTCTTTCAAGGTTCATTCAAACTTTGAAGTTTTCATTCAAAAGTGACTTTTTCTTATGGTTTGCTGAATACTGTATTTTTAATCATAACCTGAATTCTGTTTTTATGCATATTATTGGGAAATATTTAAAATTAAATGGAATAAAAGATTGATTAAATCACTGATAGGTTCATAGTATGAAGTTTTAGATGAAGCAATTGGAGAAAGTAGCTGACTAGAGCATCTGACTTTGTCCTACTGCATTATAGCTAACTGAAGGAATGTGCAGCCTTTCATCCAGTTGCCATGTGCATATTAGACTCCTGGGCACCAATGTTTATACCTTACAAGAATAAAAAACAGTAGCTCAGAGAGATGTTGAGACTTTTTTCTTTCTATTTAAGTGGTTTGGAAATCTGGTTACTATGAGCTGGTGGAATGATCTGTGGCTGAATGAGGGATTGGCGTCTTACTTTGAATACCTGGGAGCTGCCTTTGTTGAACCAAAGCTTTCACTGGTAAGTGCTAAAGCAGAATTGTTCCAACATATAGGAGGAAAAGGAAGATGCAAGAGATGGCATCTAAGTCACGGCACTGTTAACTCCTCTGGGAATTATCAGTAGGTCTTGATTTTTTTGGGAAGATTTCCTTTCTGCTGGGCATCATGGTCAAACACAGCCATTCCACAGCTGGCAGAGGATATGGCCCATCAACTGCAATTCTGCAGTGACAAGGAGCTAAAGAACTGGGGGTGTCATTTTACTCTGGATCTTCTGTCCTTTACAAAGCCCCTTTTTTTTTTTTTTTTTTTTTTTTTTTTTTTTTTTTTTTTTTTTTTTTTTTTTTTTTTTTTNTTTTTTTTTTAATTTTATTTTATTTAAACTCCTCCCTGGATTCTGTGCTGGATAGTTTCCTTCTGTCTGTATCTAAGCCCTGTTTATGAGAGAACTGGAAACTCTGTACTCATATATCTATATATTTCTTCTTTCTGTGTTAGGTGAGAGAACTCTGCATGCTGCCTGTGTCCTGGTTGCTTAACTTTTGAATACATTTCAATCAAGTACTTCAATCATACTTTTTCCTCTGTCTGCTGTAGAGATTCCACATGTGATAAGCTGGAACTGGAAGGCTTATGTACGTTTTTTGAAAGTTTCCTTTGTTTATTCCCAGGTTTTACGCCTAGATTCAGCAAGTCAAAGGTCCTTCTGTGCATCTGAAGCCAGTGTTTTTGGTTGGTTGGGTACTTCTGAAAGCCTAGTGCTAACCAGCTGAAAATTAGACAGAATAGTCCTACCGATGTCTTTAATAACTGAAAATACACTATTTAGTCTTAAAGACTGAATTTGGACTCAGGTCTTGGAGTCAAAGACTGAAAGAAGGGAAAGTGATTTTCATCCTCTCAGATTTCTTACAATAAATAGCTGACAGGACGCATGAGATATACTCACTTCTTAGTTTTTCCAACCTGTAATATAGTTATACTCTAAAATCTGACTTTTTTGATATCAAATCTACACCCATACAATCTTTCTAAAGTTGCTATAAATCATTTTGATTTAACTGGAATCCCATGACTGGGAGCTGGGTAATAAATACTTGCTTCTTTGCTCTCATGTAACTATTACTATCAATATCAATTTCAATATCAACTATCAATAAATTTTTTAGTCATAATGCAGGTAAACTTACAGAAAGATCTTTTTGATATTGAAAATTGAATTTTACTAATCAGCAAAAGCACAGCTATATAAAAGAGTTCTGCATTGTAGGATTTTTCTTAACTGTGGCTTATATGAATGAAAGAGCTGTGGTTTAGTCACTGAAGATTTTTTAATATATTGAGAAGATCTAAATTTTCTAAATTTAGAGAAAGTTGCCTTTTTTCATATAGTTCCTGTGTGATAAGTCCCTGGACAGATTGGATTACTGTACTCATGTGTCTAGGTTCTCAATGGGTTTATGTTCTGTATTGCTCTGAAAAGCTTCATCAGATGTACCAAACCCCCAAGCTCCTGCTGTTTTTAAAGTCTAATCTGTCTAGAAGCAAAACTAGGAAAACTGTAAGCCTTCTGCTTGCTTAGTCAGTGATCATTCCAGACTGTTTTTTTATCTGGCTCTGATGAAAGACCATTCATCACTTTCCTTCTGTAGTTCACCAAAGTACTTAATTGCATGCTTAAGTGGAAATTAATACAGACAAATCCAGGAGGATTTTTAGGTCATAGGATATGCTAACCTCTTTCTTCAGACTTCAACAACAAGTCACTTTGTTCTTTGTGAAGCAGTATTGTAATACCTTTGCAAAGTATAAAGGCTACCAAATTTTAGACTCTTAATAAATATTTATCTCCTTTTTTTGGTATTGATCTTTGATATGTAGCAGGGCAAGCCGCTAAAAAAAATGATTTCTGTTTTATTTTTATAAAGTAAATATTAATACGGGGCACTAATCCCCTTTGATAAATGGAATGTGATTTGCCTTGCAAGTCCAGAATAAATAACACAGGTGGGAGAACTCAGTGTTTTCTTGCAGAGGTTTGTGAACCACACATAATTACAAAGTGAACCTGGAAAGTTACAAAACCACATCTGAAATTTACTGGTTCTTTACAAAGAGAGAAAAATGGAGCAAGTAAATCTCATCCTATTCATTAAAAGCCTTATTCTTTCCTATGTCAAATCCAAGTGCTCAAACTGGATTTGAAAGTTTTAAAATTTATGTTTTTTCTTTACCACCTAGTTATATCATTTGCCTTCCAGTCTTAGGAGGAAAGTTCAGCTGGTAGAAACTACTGAAATATTTGCAAAAGAGAGAGCAGAGGGGCAGCTAAATTTCGTGGTGACATCAAAGATGCTGTGGAGTACAGCTGTTAAACCGTAGTGTACTTAGTAGGGTTGTCGTCAGAGTGCCCTCGCTGCAATCCTGAAAACAACAGCAGCAAACAAACAAAAAACCCCAGGGCAGAGCCTAGGTAGAAGATGCTGCCAGATTAACAAAACGTAATCGTAAACCAGTTAGAAACTTTGTTCCTTTTTTTTTTAATTTTTTTTTTTAGTAGGATTGCAATGTGACTATCTTTAGCTGGCACAAATCCACAGTCCTCTTGGGTGTGTCCTAGGTGGTAGCGCCGCATCTGAAAAATGTTATTTTGGGGTAATATTTGGGTAATCTGTGGGGTCTGTTTGACTTTTTTGATAGTTAAAGAGGGGAAGAAAACCACTTTTATTTATTCTTTGATAGGCAGTTTCTTTTCATTCCAGTTCTGTAAGCCTGATTGTCTGCCTGAAAATAAGTAATTTCTTTTTGCCTCACAATGCACTTAGGTTTCTATCTTCTGCTTTCAGGATAAAGTATTTCACGATCATGTTATACAACCCATTTTAAGCGAGGACAATGAGATAGGAGTTCGATCCCTGTCGGCAAGTGAAGACAAGATTAAAGGATCATCTTTCTTAATTTCTTTGTTTGACACCATCACGTATAACAAGGTGAGAAAAGAAAATTCTTTCCTTGTGTATTCTAAGCTAACATGTTGCAAAGTCAGTTTGAGCAGAACAGTGAATATAACAATATCGTGTTATATTACAGTATTTTTTTGTTATTTGTTACTCAAATTTTTTTTCTGTAGCACATACAGATATATGTATGAATGTTGCAAATCTGTTTGCCTGCATAAGAAAGGATGAATAAATTAAACCTCCATAAAATACAAGATATAGGAATAGCTATGCATATCTCTGAAATACAGTTTTGAAAAAAAAAAACAATAATAGTTGCAATAATAACTCATATGCTCATGTGGCTTTTTTTTTTTTGTGTTTCAGGGGGCTTCCATTACCTGGATGCTTTCTAATTTTCTGACCGAGAAGCTGTTTATCAGAGCACTCACTGTAAGTTTGAAAAATTGATGTCTTCATCTTGATTTATTAGCTTGAAAATAACAGTTGTACAAATTAATTTCTGTCTTTTTTCATTGAACCTGCACCAATTCTTCTTTTTCTTTACAGTCTTACCTGAAAACATTTTCCTTTTCAAATGCTAACCAAGATGATCTGTGGACCCACATACAACTGGTATTCGTTTTTATCTTGCTGTGATATTTCCCATTAATTTGAGAAATATACTGTTTGTAGAAGATTGAGTTGGGATTTGACTGTGCCTAATTCAATCTTTCCCTTGCATACAGTTTTCTTAGATGTCTCTTCTGGTGAAGATTTTCGCAAATACTTACTTGGCTACTTAACTGTACTTGATATCAATAGACCTGAGTACAGAGAGATAAGGTAAAAAATCAGAGGCAAGGTTTGTGTTTCACATCCTGCCTCTGTCTGAAAAGGCAGGGTCTAATTTTTGCGGGGAGCATAAGTTTTGCCAGGGCAAGGAGTGGGATACTCAGGGTTTGATGATCATATGATACAGGTATGTGAGAGATGCAGCCAAGTCTACACTGTGGCAGCAGCTCACTATTTGATTTTTGTAGATTTTGACAGTAATCTGAAAGGAAAGCAGATATTATTAATAGGTTTATTATATTAAAAAAGTCCACCTCACTATTCCTCTAAAGAAGGCTTCATTGCGCTCTGTCTCAGATTAAGAACAAGAGCACTGCAATTTCAGATGTGCAAGGTTCTGGCATCTTTTAAGACAGCAGAGATGATAACTAATTCAGAATGATTGAGGCTGTAGTTTGATATCTTTTTCCATATATTGCTACTATTGAATTTCTTCATTGGGCTGCCACTTTAAAATCTCTGCATTTAAGCAACTTTATGTGAATGAAATAAACTAATTGCCCATCTTCAACCATGCAGGGATGCAGGGAAATTAAATAAAAGAGAAAAGGATTAGCAGTGAAGATACAAGAATGTATAGCAGTGAGGATAAAAGTGAAGAATGAGCAGTGTCTGCTCCTATAAAGGGTTATGGTGTTTCTCCAATAGTTGCAGTAATGACATTTTCACATTGATTTTTGTGCATGAACCAAAGATCAGCCAACTTTAAAGAAATTATTTTTTCCTTAATATGTTAGAACGACCCCTGCAGTGTTGCTGAAGTAGTATCAATAAGTGCATGTTTATCATAAACATTTCTAATTCCTATTTCTCTTGAAGGTTGTAGATGGACAGGATGAAGTTCAGTTGCCAGCATCTGTAAAAAAAATAATGGATTCCTGGACATGCCAAAATGGGTTTCCAGTTTTAACATTAAATCTATCCACTGGCACAATCAGTCAGGAGCAATTTCTTAATAAAAGGAATGACAACAATACTGCTACATACAAGTATGTTTAGCTTGTGTTTTTATAGTATGTTTATATACCCTATTTTTTTTGCATGAAACCCTGAAGTTTTAGCCATTATGTTTTAGCAGTCTATGCTTCCCCTGCTCCCTGGTCATAAAGTGTCAAGTAAAAGTGTTGTTTGAGGCCTGGAGTTTGCAAACCGATTGTTTTGCCAAAGGGATGCTTTCTGCTGGAGTGCTGACTCTTCAGCCACAGAGAGACTTTAACAACACTGGCCATTAATAAGCTTTAGGGCAGGAGTTTTCCTTGGTGTTTTCTGCACTCCTCATTCTCAGTTGTCCAGGCTGACCTGTCAGTTCACTCTCAGTGAACACTGCTGAATGTCTAGTGCTTTTGAAAGCCACACTGTGTGTTTAGGTGCATTAAAGTGGCGATAAGGTAGCTCACTTTGAAAACTCATGACCAGAGTGTGAACTTTCAGGAAATTGAGTGATTGTCCTGAGTGGTAGGCTGCATGAGGAGAGTCTATGGGATGAATTCTCAGCCAGGTGAGAAACACAGAGCAGAGCATAGTCCAAAACGGCATTTCCCTGACTGCAGTTGCTCATAACCACAAGAGATCTGACAAGAAACACATTTTTCTTTGCTTCTAACCCTAAGGAACTGCAGAGGCTGTTCAGGCTATTTGTTAGTGAAGAGAGGGAAATCCAAGTCACAAATGCTAAGTCTTTTACTCCAGCTGCAGGAAGAGGCAATACTATGGGAATTTAAGCAAATCCAAGACATGCATTACAGAATTTTTCATTTCCTTGAACTTGCAGGTTTCATAGCTTTCATGTGTTTCTCTGGGGGCGGTTAAATTTTCTCAGAAAGGATATTAAAGTTGTCAAAATTGAGATTGTATTGCCTGTCTGGAGCCTTTTTTAGTAGAGACACTTCTGAAAAGGAACTTTACTCTCTCAAGGAATAGGGTGAAGTGCAATAAATGAGGAGAATGAGATTACTGCCTGTAGAAGGAAAGCAGGCCATAGAAACACTGTGGTATTTAGACTGCTGTTCTATATTGTGTCTTCGAATATGAGTGCCTGCTGAAATCCATGCCAATGGATTGCCAGTCTTCAATGAACCTAAGGGGTGGCCCAGCATAAGTACCACCATCCCATGAGGTTTTGTGCATCAGGGAAGGAAAGTAGACGGAGATTCTTTTAAGAAATGATTGCTGTATAGTTTAGCATCAAGTAAGAGCTAGTTTGCTTTTTAAGCATAAATAATAATTATCTATTTTGTTTTTCTCTTCCCCGTCTCTAAGTAAAACATGGATTGTTCCTATTTCTTGGATGAGAAATGGATCATCACAACCCTTGTTGTGGCTTGATGAAAGCAGCAGTAAGTAATGAGTTAGTACATACATGCTGAAAAAGATGATAACAACATGCATTTTTAAGCAGAAGATGTATTTGAATTGAACAAGAAGAAAGGTAAAACCTTAGTATAGCAAAGTCTATGTTTACCTATTTTGTTCACTTTCGTTTTACAGTGTCAGTAGATTAGATATTGTATTGTTTTTCTCTAAATTGCAATTAAGCTTTAGAGCATACTTTTAACACTGTTGTGGGATGCATGTTCTAATTAGAGATTTCACCAGTGATTTTGATTCATCATTTTACGCTTAAGTCTGAACTCCAAGCTTCTGACATTTCTGTACTTTTGTTACTAGAGCAAGTCTCATTGATATTAGTGAGAGTTTTCGAATATATGAAAGGCCTCAGATTTTGTCCATCATGAAAATAATCAAGTTGAAATTATGGATATGAAGACTGAAAGAGATTGAAAACAGCTGTATGAAATGACCCAACCTTGTCATATATAACCATCTTTAAAACCGAAAATGCGTATTTTCAGCACTGTGTAATATAATTTGGTTTTGCAGTCTTCTGGGAGGAGTATAATTTTAAAAGGTTTTAAAGGCTTATAATAAAAAATGAGTTCATGAACATATCCAGTCAAATAAGACAATTCATTTCTTTCTCATTTTAATGCTTTCCAATAGATTACTATGTTTTTTTTTTCTGAGAGAGAGAAGAGTGTTATTATTAGAAGTAGGTAATTATGTCTGTCTAGCAACTCAATCCTAAACTCCATCAGACTTACAAGTAGATGCAGAGACTTTTGCGCTTATGGAGCACTTAAGAGCAAAACTGCTCTTTATACACATTGGGTGCATATTCCAGCTCCCTGCTCTCTCTTTACAGTGGTTAAAAGTTACTTTGCTTATTTGTGAGGTAAGATGATGGGTGGAGAGATTATTTTGTAATATATGGACAAATAATTAAGCAGTCAGTGGATGTTTATTCCCCTGGGTGGTTTAGATTTAAAATCAAGTACACTAGTGATAGGTAGAGTGAAAATAGAAAACATAGGGGAAAGACATGTTAAGCACTTCTTATTTGAAAGAAGATGTCATGAGCTAATGCTGTGTGCTAAGCTTTTATTAATAATTGGTAATGATTCAGTTTTCTCAGCTATGATGTACTTTGCAAGCAGAAGGAAGAACCTAAGGAAAAGAAGCATTGGATTGTATCTGTCTGGAACAACTACTATAAAGTAGAAATTTGGTCATTAAAACACATTCTACTCACATTCAAAAAAATATAGTAAGCCTATCAAAGATGCTAGACTTCAGTCAAGGAACATGCATTCAAGTTTAGAGGTTTTAATAAAGAAAGAATTCTGATTTTCTTTTCTACTTTTTGATAAACTAATTGGTTTTCTTAAATGGTAGAAATGTGGAGGGTATTTTTTAATTTAAATTACCACTTGTTCCTGTAAAATTGAAATGGATTTTGGAGGAGAGCTTTAGTTTTTGTTGTCACACATAGGTTTCTAAAGAGTTAATGAGAATGGTTATGATAGGATCTTATAAGGATAGAATCTTATAAGGATTTTATAAGAATCAGAGCTTTGTTAAGTAGTTGCTGCAGTGGCATAACAATACGTAAAAAGAAAGATCTCAGCAGTGGTCACAGGGTAGATATATTTTTGTTGCAAAGAGCTCTGCAAGAGCTAGTTTATCTTGCTTCTGGAGAGGATAAATTAAACTCCAAGCTGAACTCCAATGCTACCAGTAGCTAAACCTATTTTAAACTGCACTGTACTGTGCTAAAACCCTGTCCCAATGGTTTAAGGCTTGTGAGGCAAAATGTGAGTACTTGTCTTCTGTCCATGTATTTGTGTGGATCACTGGCAGGGAGAGACCTGATCCCTGAATGATGTATGTCTGTGCAGCAATGCAACAGGGAAGAGATGTTCTCACAGTGTAAGAACATGGGCAGCCTTTCCCTCATCCACTAGCTGGGTTTCCTAGTCATGGAAGGAGATCAGGTTGGTGAGTCAGGACCCACCTTTCATGAACCCATGCAGCAATGCAACAGATAAGAACAGAGAGCTACTAAACGGAGTATGCTGGTAAGACGAGATGACAAGCTGGAACCAGCCTTATTTTTGAGCTACAATTTGAGTTTGAGCATTATAATTCTTATGAGAGATGCAAGCACAATAATAATGAAAAGAACAATAGCTGGTGCACATTCTAAGTCTGCATAATTTTCTCAGTTCTCCCTCAGAGGAGTTTCATATACAGTGTGCACATGCTAGAGAGACTTCAGTCCAGCAGCGCAGACATAGTACTTTCATGTGCCACCATGGCCATCACGGTAATAGAAAGCAAAACTTTTCTTGGTGGGGGGAAGCCAAACAGCTTACTCTATTTGGAAAAAAAAAAACCCAACAGTCATTGTGCACTGATTTTGCCCTGTTGTTATCAGTAGCTTCCCAGGTACATATACATGATTCATAAGCCTAGTGGATTCAAAATTAACTTTATCATTTCTTGGGTAATATTTTCATCTTGGCTACCTTCCACTGCTTCCACTTCGTATTTCCACCCTGTGACTGGGTGCCTGGCATGCTGAGGTATCCGTAAGGGATATCCAAGGGCTATCCACATTCCCTTGAGGTCTGACTCAGCAATCAGAGGTTTGGCTTCTGAAACAGGAGACTTAGGTAATTCTCTGATTTGGGCTTCTGTAAAAAAGGAGAGTTCACACTAGTTTGGCCCTGCAGGGATGATAACCTCTGGTTCATTTGTTTCAGGCCCAGGCGCTACTCATTACACTCGGGCAGCTGGCCTGTCCTTGGATTAACACTACTTAGTGTTTTTAAGTCTCACAATTCCTTCTGCTCAGAGGAGGGGTTGTGGGCATTTGGAGGCAGGTCTTTTCCTCAACCTGGAGGAGCAGACGACTGATCACTTCTGCCTCCTTGCTTCATTCCTTCCAGTGTCAGTTTCCTGATCTGTGTTGTTGCAGTAGGGGCATGTGTCACTTGGGAGAAGATGAATTCTAGCTTACCTTGAACTTACCTTGAAACTTCTGATTTTCCTCTCCTCTACCTGCAGGTCTTGTTCCTTACATTCACGTTCCTGTATTTTCTCACTGAGTTGCTTACGTTTTTGGTGCTGTTGTTGTGCCTGTTGCCCTGCCAGGCAGGCTCCCAGGACGGCGCACGTTCCTCTGCTTCCCTGTGTTCTGCAGACAATGGATGGTCTGTCGCTCCAGTTGCCCTGAGCCCACTTGGCTGGAGCGCCCGCATCTGTTCAGGCTGCATTAATTCGTGTACAGACATTTAATGTGTGTTTCTCAGTCAAACTGTCAGGGATTGTATGCAATCCACTTGAGTCTTCAACTGTTGGGACAGAAAGTCCTTTCACAGTGGGCAGCTCACTAGCCAGTGGCCAGTCCTTGTGTTCAAGACTCACACACATGTGACACTCGAGTCTGTCATTTATTCCCTTAGGGAAGGAGTACGTGACCTGCCATGGCCATTCTCACAAGGCGCTTTTTCCAAAATCATCCGGCAAAATCCATAAGAGTATCTGTTTTTGCACTGCATCATGATGGATCTTGGTCCTTCATTGGAGTTTGCAAGCGTGTCCAGTTTGGTTCTGTTGCAGCCCTTAGCAAAGTGAGACCTCACTGCCTCCACGGGATTTCCCACTCCCCTATCTTCCTGCTGGAGACAGTGCTCATCATTTCCCTAGGGCATCTGCACCGTATCATCAGAGTTTGTACAATTCAGCAGTGTCCTCGTTAACTCTCGACTCGCTGCTCAAAGAGAGTTTGATTTTTTTTTTTTCATCAGTCTGATAAAACCCAGTTAAAGTGATGTTCAGTTCCACTTGTGATGAGGCAACACAGAGTCTTCAGAGCTGCATCAGATCCTTGAGTTGGTGGGAGCAGGTAATCAGACACATAGCCTGGGTAATAACTAGGTGAAACAGGACTGCAGAAGGATGCCCTCATTTAGTGATATGACTCATGAGAGCTGTGGGATTTATATGCAGATTTTTTTTTTTGATAATTTCTCTCTGATGAATCAACTTAAGCTATTCTGTTTCTCTAGATCTCCATTAGATTTGTATGGTTACCTTATAAAAAGAAATTCAGCTGTTGGGTGAGGCAGGATTTTGGAGGAATGCCTGAAGGAGCAAATGTTTCCCAGATAGTATTTCAGAACTCTCACAGGTGCCTGCTAGCCAGCTACCTTGAGTAGGAGTGGGTAGGTACTTCAGCCTCCTCTGTGCCATCTTAAGGTGGCTAGAGGGAGTCAGTTGCCTGTTGAATACTGTCCACATCTAGAGATCAGATACACCCGGCTTTGGAGAGATTCTTTGTTTCCAGACTCCAACTTGTGCCTTAGACTGCAGAGGAGCGCTGAACCCAGTGTTTATAAATTCAAGAGAATGTATCGCTTTATTTTCTCTCCATTGCTAAACTTTAATGTCACTTGCAGAAATGTTTCCTGAAGTGCAAGTATCAGAATCAGAGTATGATTGGATCCTGCTCAATGTAAATTTATCTGGATACTATCGAGTTAATTATGATGAATTAAACTTAAAAAGATTAGCACGTGTGCTTGAAAATGATCCAAAGGTAAGATCATGATTATTTTTTCAAGCTTATAAGCAATAAGCTTTCAGTGTATTTCTTTTTGAGATTTTTACCAATAATCTGTCGGTTTAAAAGGAAATGGAACAACGAGAAGCCTGTATATCACATATGAGCAAGTAAACCACAACTGCACCACTAGCGTCACTGGCAGCATTCTGCTGTGGAATAGAAACAGGCCCAAATGGTTTCACATGAAGAGCAGGCTGAAAAATAATATGCATTAAATCATATCCTGTCTTCAAAGCTGCCTTGACAATTTGTGGTTGTAATCCTTAAATTTTGCCAAAGGAATTGTCAGTATGGATATGTGACTGAGCTTTACTTGAGGTTAGAATTAAGCAGAGTTCCGATTTGACGGAATTGAACTATCTTGCAGACTCAAAGGGCTATTCATGCAGCTTATAGCCATAACTTGGACTAAAGATTAAAGAAGGATGGACAGACTATGTATATGACCTCATATTGGATTGTATAATATTTAATCTTGCCTAAATCTGAGTGTAGCTTAGATAATGTCAGTTTATTGGATTTGATGCCAAATATTAGATGGAGGGAGTCAGGATTACTACGGTGGAAAGTCTGAACACTGTGCTCTGATTAAAGCCTTTGTGCAGCATATTGGCTTCCTTTCTCCTAAGTTTTTCTGTTGCACCAAACCTAAGTTAACACAAACTTAGGCACGTGCAATCTTGGGGCAGTGCTCAGGCACTGGTCAGCAGCTTCCACCAAAGCAGTGGCCAGCAGGTACTGCCACAGAGGCAGAACAGATGAGAAGGGACTTGGTTCTTGTGAGAGCACAGGTTCTCTGTAGGTATGTAACTAAAGATCTAACTGAGATTTTAGTTCTTGATAGTGTCAGATTCTGCTTTGGCCTGATTTTAACTATGTACTCTGCAGTCAAGCCTCAAAAACTTAAAAAAAAAAAAAAAAAAAGCTCTATCAAAATGTTATAACCAGAATTTTTGCTAGGAACTTTAGAGTTTCCTTATTTTAATATCTATTACAGCATGCAAATAAGAGAGGCATTAAAGTTTTGAATTGAGTGTTATGTAGTTGTATATTTTATATTGTATATAGTGTGTATATATATATATATATGTATATTTTATATATATGTAGAAGTGCTTGTAAAAGCATTGTAGCAATTTCAACTTAAGATGTAGGATCCTATTTTATCATGATTTGTAGAAGATTTTGGCATAGAAAAGATGTTATGATCTTTGTAATATTTTTGAAACATAATGAATTTTTTATTTTAATGATGTATTTAGATCTATTAACACTGAATGAATTCTTTCTGCAGGCTATTCCCGCTGTTAACAGGCTGCAGCTGATAGATGATGTTTTTGCATTGACACAGTAAGTATGTTTTGGACATGTCATAAACAATTATTAAAATTGGATTCAACATTCCTATTTCTGCTTCTTTCACTCCTCCCCATACATGTCTCATAAAAGCAACAGATGTTCACTCATAATAGTGGGGGAGTAGATGCTAAATCTATTCTTATGTCAGTGCTGAGTGGTTTCTTTCAAAATTTGTTGTAACTTTTGTCCATCCCTTAGAAAGTATTTCAGATAATGGCATTCTTATGAATTTTCCAGGGACTATTCTATATTTGTTGTAACAGAAAAGGGTATTAGCAAATTTTTCTTTTCTTTGGGGGCATCTCAGATGTCATGCATCATTCGTAATACCTCCTTCATTTCTCATGCCATTGGATTGCTTGTTCATATCTTGGCAGAAGAAACAGGTCGCTCAACACTTGTACTGCAGGCATTTTAGTTCTGCAGAAAATCGCTAGAGCAAGATAAGCCAATTTTATGTTAATTTTTGAAATAGGAGCAGTTTTTGAAGGAAGTTCATGCTCAGAGGCTATGGAACTATGGTCCTGAAGAGCTGACTGGTGCTGAAGGGAGCCAAAGACCCCCAAAGTGCGCATGGACCTCTAAAATGTACCAGAGATCCTAAAAGCACCAGGGATTAGTGATGTGGGAGCTCTGGGAAGAGGTGGATAATGTGTACGGCCTCCCTTCAAAGCCTGGGAGCTCAGAGAAGGGAGTCAAAGGTTCTCCTGCTCTTGTGCAAACACCTTCTGAGAGAGCTCAGGCACATCACATAATCGGGAGTATAACTCTTAATGTAACTGTGCCCCAGTGTAAGTATGCTAGAAGTGTTGCTGTTCTGAGAAAGCAGGGCTTGACTGATGCGGGAAGGAATGAATTCCACTTAACTACCATTCTGAAGCAAAGAGAGGTCATGCAGAAATTCTTTGTTCTAAGAATAGGGTGCATATGAATTAGATTGTATGTTTTTACAGTTATGTTTATTTAATAAAATAACCTGTAATGAAAATCTGTTCATCTATAAAGACAGACATGTTTTGTAACTCAAAATAGTGCTTTGTTCCTTCGTTTTGTCCTAGGAAGGCTGATGTAAATGTGCTTGGATATAATCCTTTAAAAACATAACCAGAATGCAGTCTGCTTACTGCCATGCTTCCTACCAGGAATGTACCATTGCTTTGCTTAAGCACTTTATGCTTTGTAATAAATGTTTGGAGAGCTCTGCTCCTAAATGAGGCACCATTGTTTTATATTTCTTCTAATTTTCCAACATACTTGCTTGCTATTTTCCAGACGGTGTCCTGATGTTTTATTGTCAGTTGTAAACTAACAGATACTCATAGTATGTATTAATGTGGTCAAATATGAGGCTTGTTTTTCCCTCAAATAGGTTTGGATATATTCAGATTGAATCAGCGCTTGAACTAACAAAGTACCTTGCTAAAGAAGATGAAATCTTTATATGGAATATGGTATTATTAAATCTAATACCAGACACTTGGGAAAGTACTCTGAAAAACTATGAAGTATATCCACTTCTAAAGGTATTACTTTTTTTGTTAATTGGCAGGGATTATAGACCATTAAAAAAAAAAAACATGAAAATGGAGACTTTTAAGGTTGTCAGGAATGTAGTGATGAGCATGGTGGGTCATAATTCCCTTTGGATGACTTTGCCAGCTTATTTTTTTTTTTTGAATAGACCTTATTTGTATGGATTAGTCATTGATGACCGTCATTTAATCCTAAACTGTATCTGAGCTGCTGCTTATGTAAAGCAGAAATATATTCACAGTCTTAATTCTTCACATTCACAATGTTAACACTAAAGTTGGTCTTAGGTTTTGGTAAAACCAAAGATCTGGAAAATCTATCATTTGAAAAATCTATTAGTAGTAATCAGTAGTAACTAATAGGAGTATTGCTGATAAAGAAGATAGATTATATATGTATTCTGTGGAATGTGCTGCCTTCTGATTCATTTTTAAGGAGAGAAGAAATAATTGGGTTTAACCTTTCATGCTTTATTGGTCCGTATACTTAGTGAGGTTATTTTCTCTCATTTTGGCCTGCTTGAAATAGCATTTCTCTTTATACTTCCTTGACACCTATTTGACTTGACTTTGCAATCTCATGATAATCATTCTCTAATTTATAAAACTAAAGCCAGATATGAACATATGAACAAAGTGAAGTGTTCTCCTATTTGAGAAATTATTTTCTCTTGTGTTCTTTGAGAATGACTATGTGTTTTCTTCCATAAAAAGTTCCAAAATTTTTTCTACCTATCAAAGTGAGGTTGAATGGGAGTTTATCAGTTTGAATGAATGTGGAAGTGTATTTTTTTGGACTAAACTTGCATGCTGTATATGGTATATTAGCAAGAAATTTATAGTAGTGAATTTTTAGGATAAATGTGAAAAAATAAATAAAAACTGAGTGTAAGAAAAATAGAGATCTAAATGAAAGTAACTTTTTTCCCCTTTCTTTTAAAAGAAATACCTTTTAAAGAGAATGTTGCCAATATACCATTATTATGCAGGTTTAATTCGTCAAAATGTTGATGCTTTGGAAAATGACTATTTTGCTCAGTAAGTATGCTTTTAATTTTTCCCACAAAAGTTTGATCTGGCATGATTTGATCTCAAACACTGTATTGTGCCTTTGTAAATAAATAGACAAGATACAGGAAAAATATTCCAATTTATTTGAATCTAATTGAATTGTTATTTTTATTGTCCTGTAACTTGTGATGGTGCTTCCAGTCAGTTTTCAGTAGCTGGATTGCTTGGGTATTTTATGTGAATTTAATGAGCATAGAAGTTAGTAGCATCATTTGTTTTTTTGTAAGCAGTTGAAACAGGCTGCTGCTATTAGGAGGAACACCCACAGCACTGAGCTTCAGATGTGATTTATGAATCAGTCACTAGAGCTTGAAAATAGTTTATTTTGTATGGCTACCCAGGGTTAGATGCTTGACTGTTGGAGTGATGAGGCTAGAACAGGAGTAATATAAAACACACAAAGCCTATTAAAAATTACATTCTCTTCGTAGCTTCACTAATTGCTGTGAATATTGATGTCATGAACCCATTGTTAATAGTTTAAGTATATATATGTATATATATTTATAAAACCTTTACTGTTTCTAGTAGAAATTCTCCTGGGTAAACAACATTTCTCAGAGTACTTCAAATATAGAATACATATCTTTTATTGTTTCTATTTTGGCTTCCCTTCAAGAGTGTATTTGGAAAAACTCTTTGCAACAGCATGTTGGCTGGGTCTGCAGGACTGCTTGGATCTTTCATCTGAACTGTATGCGAAGTGGATGAACAGCCCTGAGTACAAGTAAGAATGATAACGTGCTCTGAAATGTGCATGTGTTGGAAAGTGAGATGGAAGGTTAATAGACTGTTATATAGGGTGTGCAGAATAGAATAGCCCCTGTACATTGTCTTCGTCACAAAATTTCAGAACTTAGGCTTAAAAAAAAATCCAAAATACTAAAAATCCTCCACTTCAGAGGAGGATTGGAACCCAAATTCCAGGTTCATATTGACTTCATAATTCTTGCTTTCCGTGCAGACTTTACAGTCCGAGGATGCAGAGTGTTGCCATAAAGATCACATACTGTTCAGCTGTAGAATGGCTGAAGCTCCACTCAGGCATAATGCCCCTATTGCCCTGTCCCGTTCCACAGTAAAGCCCCCACACAATTCTCAAAGCTTCTGTAGGAAAAAGTGAGATGAAATAGAATTTGTGCCGTATGGGCATTTCCTCATGGTGAACCCATCAAATCATTTTGCATGGACGGTATTTGCATGGAGAGGTGCTGGGAACAGCTCCAGATCTCACGGTGTTTCTGGAGTCCAATGGTTAGGTTTCTTGTCTCAGAGATAGAGGTCTGGGTTCTGATTCTCTCCTACCATGATCAGACATTCTGTATTAGAGTATGGCATTGTTGGAAAAATCTTACAATGTATTGAAATTCTTACTTTCTTTTCTCCCTGTTTTGACACCTTTTCTTATGGCGTTGTCATATAGTATTGGCACTGGTGAGTGAATGTTTAAAGATTATCATTTAACTTTTGTTAGTCATGTAAATTTTATAACTTTTTTTTTTGATGTATGTGTTTGGCTAAGTGAACTTGTATTTGTACTTTTTTAATAACCTTGGTCTCCTCATTAAAAAAAACAAAAATACAAAAAAAAAAAGGTGCATTAAAGGTAAACTGAAAAGCTTAAGTATGTTAAATACACTCTGATGTGTTCCACAGACAATATTCTTACTATACACTAAAAGCAACAATGCTGGCTAAAATATGAGATGCCTTTCAGCATAGCCACATGTTTTCCTCTATTAATTATATATGAAGTATTTTTTTTTCTCTGGGGATTTTACCTAATGTGAGTTCAATAGTTGAAAAGTGTGTGAAATATTAGCTGTGATTTCAAAAAGAAATAAAGTTTCAAGGAGAAGAAATCATGGGAGGTCGGAAATTTCTCAGGTTTCAAATAATGGATCAGTGTTCTTGTTCAGTAAAAGCAGAGGCTTTTCATATGCTGGAAAGAAAGAGGAATAATAACCTTTTATAGAACCTTCCTAGATAGATGCTTTTAAATGCTCGGAATTCCCCATTCTGAGACCAAAATTCATAGTGGTACATGATAGCTGGTCTGCTACAAGCAGTATCATGCATTTCATGGTACCTGGCAGGATTCTCATGTCTTTTGAGAGGAATAATAATGTTTTTCTCCTTCAAATAAGGCTACCAGCCTTCAGCTGAATCTTTCCAAACAGAATTCACAGAACTTAATCTTTTGGGCTTGATATGGTGCGCTTTTATCTGCTGAATGAAAAGAGTAATCTGAGCCACAATTTACAGACAGTGCTTTAGTATTACTCCTTTGCTCAGAGGAATGAAGTAGACATCTCTAAAATAGTTTATTCCCTGTGGTTCTGTGCTGTTTGTTTATCTCCTTAGAAAGCACAAAATTACCCTAGACAAAGGGACAGTGTTGCTGTATGTTCTAGTTACTAAGGGTAACTACACTACTGTTATTGTTAAGGGGTCATCATCACATCATCTCTGTATTGACTCCAGGAAGATGACATAACAGCAGTTAGCAGTTAACAATCCCTAGCAGTTTTTTGCATGTTACTCCACAAGCATGGAGTACTTACAAGATACAAGGTACATACTGACGGTGTATCTTGAGCTGCAGGACCATACCTGGAAAATATCAAGATCAGTAAACCCTACCCTGATCCAACATTGAAAACAAAAATTCAGATTTCTCTTGGTCACAACAGAGATCTACTATGTGGACTAGACAACACAAATCACATCCAGGCCACTGTAGATGTCACCAGCCAGTGCAGCCATACAGTGCTGCCCATGCAGCCTTCCTTCCATGCCCAACATGAAGAGCTGCAGCCAAATGTTCACTGAGCTTTTATCTGTTTCATTTTCACCCACAGCATTATATTCGATAACCAACATTTTCTTGAGACTACTGGGACAACTTGGGTATCAAAACAGGAGTATTTTAGCCAAGACCTCTTTTTAGGAAGCATCTGAAGAAGGATATTTTTAACTAATCCACACTTTGAATAGTGTGTTCCACACCTCGAACACTGTGCTCAGGTTTGGGGCCCTCACTACCAGAAGGACATGGAGGTGCTGGAGTGTGTCCAGAGAAGAGCAACGAAGCTGCTGAAGGTGCTGGAGCAGAGACTGTGTGAGGAGCAGCTGAGGGAGCTGGGGGTAGTTAGGCTGGAGAAAAGAAGGCCCAGGGGACACCTCATCGCTCCCTGCAACTACCGGCAGAGAGGTTGTCGTTAGATGAGACTGATCTCCAGAATAACTGTCTAAAGCAGAGCAAGAGGAAATGGCCTTAGGTTGCGCCTGGGGAGGTTCAGGTCAGACATTAGGAAGAATTTCTGTATGGAACAAGTGGGGAAGCCTTGGAACAGGCACGTGGTGGAGTCACCGTCCCTGGCAGTGCTCAAGAAACGTGTAGATGAGGCACTCAGGCACATGGCTGAGCAGGCAGTGCTTATGGTTGAACTCTGTCTTGAAGGTCTTTTCCAACCATAGTGATTCTGTGATTCTGTAACTTCCATTAACGCAACATTGAATTGAAAACATAGAGATGGTTTCTCTGTCATTTGTGTGGAAAATTTCTGTCCCTGCTTTTCTTTTGTTTTCCATGCCAACATCAGATTGAGTCCTATGCAAGCATCTCTTCCAAAGGCACTAAGTTTGCCATAAACAACAGTGTGACACTCATGTGATTGATGCCTTGGGTTGTGCTGTGAAAGAGTGGTATTGAATACTGTAGGTACAGGAAGTGGGTTAACCCAACTGTTTTAAGAAAAAGGTTTTTGGTTTGCCTTTAAACACGATGTTCCATTAATGTTTGTCATAAACAAATTTCATAGTTTTTAGATTTCTGTTTTGTGTGTATTTTTTTTGGTGCATATTTTAACTGTAAATAAACATTTTTTCAGTTACACATTAAATGCTTATTTTCCCTTTGTAACAATAGTACTGTTTAATCATATTTTGCTCTGCAGTATTCCCTCTTTAATTAGAAGAACGATTTGTTGCTATGGTATTGCAATGGGAAGTGATAAAGAATGGAATTTTGCATGGGATGTTTATAATCAAACCAACTCCACAAAGGAAGATAAAGACATCCTAATGTTTGCCATGAGCTGTGCCAGAGAATCGTGGTTACTTTACAGGTGACCTGAATCAAAATATATTTTTGCATGTATAAAAATAAGTCATAAAAACATAAATACTGTCCTAAGCTGGAGAGAGACGTGACTTCTATACAGACATATGTCCACTAGACCAGGGTCAGATTCGTAAGGATGTTTTTATAGAGAAAGTATGATAAACAGGGCAAAAACAGGGCAAAAAAAAAAAAAAAAAAAAAAAAAAGTGAACCTTTTGCTTTCTAACATTCCAGGCAGTGGTAATCATGGACTTCTTGAATTAGCACATATTTCTACTATATTATGTCTAATACTAACAATGGATATCTTCTCTTAGTGTGTTTAATTTCCTTTTTAAACTCAGACTGCAGACTTCATAGCAGACTATGGCAAATTTCATAGTGTAATTGCATGTTTTATATACCTTTTTTAAAGTTTGATCTCATAGGTTTCCCTTACTCTCTGCAATGTGAGAAATAATAATCATAACTTGCCTAATTTTTCTGTAATTTGGAAGTCACTGCTCCTCACCCTATAGGCTCTATCTGAGCAGAGTGAGTCCCCAAAAACTCTGGAGCAGTTTGCTTTTCTATAGGTTGCGTGGTGGAAGTGAGAGAAGGCCCTGTGTTAAAGGAGCACTAAGAACAAAGAAAGGCAAATATATCCTGCTTATGTGATATGTCATTTCACTGAGCCAGTGCATCAGAACAGAGAATTTCAGCAATATAAGCAGGAAATACAAGCAGAACAGAGAGCTCAGAGTGATGCCAACTTTAGCATAATGTTCTCAGGCCTGATGATGATTGCCATAAGCATTTTCCTTACAAGCTGGTAAATGATTCCAGGTCTTTGTGGTTAAACAGTGAGCAATAGTTAAACTTTTTTTACTTCTTTTACAACAGATACTTGCAGTATGGACTCAGTGATACATTACCTTCTTCCAACTGTACTTCAGAAGTCATCTTATATGTGATGGTTAAGGATATTGGGCAACGCATAGCCTGGGAATTTGTTACACAAAATTGGCCACTTCTAAGTGAAAGGTATGGAGAGGAATCACCATCAAGTTTATTTTATTTCTGACACTCTATGGCTATTTCTTCCATCTTTAGTTTTAAGCTGTAAAATCAAGGTGTAGATTTTCCTTCTAGATAAGGCTTGTGTTTGTAGTCATGTCATTTCTTAAGTGCAAAGACCTGAGGATTTAGCTCTCATTAGGATGTAGTGTTGAAAAGAGCTTGTATCAGGCACAGAGTGCTTAAAATGAGTCTGTTCATGACAGTCTCAGGTAGGTGTGGTAGATGTTCAACTTCTTGGAAAATGTGGGCCTGTTTATTAAACTAAATGGGGAACTTCCCCCAAAATCCCAGTTGTGAGACAGTGAAAGCTAAGAATTTGGGAAGAGAGATGTCCCTTAGGAGCCATCAGTGGCAGCATAACCAAAAACAGATATTTAGAGCATTTGGTTGTGTATTTAAGGTTTATTGGTATTACTGATTCTAGTAAAATGTGTTACAGCTGGCTTGTGCCATCTTGTTCCATTATGCAACTTTTCTGCACTTCATAGAGATGAGAAAATTTGCAGGGAAACAGATCCCTTATTTTTAAACTAAAAAAAAAGTATGATTTTTTTTTCATACAGCTTTATATGCTATCTTCAGGATCTAACAAAAACCACCAAGTGGCTAGAATTATTTCCTAGCCTTCCAAGTTAGGTTAGACCAAGAAAATGATTCATAGTATCAAAGCAAAAATACCAAAGCTTGCAAAGAAATGCAAATTTTGGGTAATTAGTGTGCTTCTTCCTGTTCAGATGTCTAAACTGAAGTTTAACGATGTTTCTTTAAAAGAGTAATGAATTCCAAACTTCACCTTGGATAGTATTTCCAGTATAATAATTAATAAATAAGTACAGAGAATATTTTCAAAGGAGATGAAAAGTACCTTATTTGATAACATACTGATGGAAGGATCTTTGCACCACTTCTACAGGTGTGGGGAGGAACTATTACATGATATATTAAAAGTAATGGCAAGATACGTCAATACAGATGTACAAATCCGAGAGGTAAGTTAATGATGTAGAAGTAATTTCAACTTTATTGTGAGCCTGTGAATACAGATTTTAAGCATGCACTGCTTTTCATGTCTTGCTATGTTCTCTACAAAGAAGTCAGTTCCATACGATGATGAAAAATTTGCCCAATATCAGTCTTTCAATTCATCTTCAGGCTTGGAAGGTAGTCTCAATAAACAAGCAGTAAAGATGCTTCTTTTTTTACCTATAAAATCTGTTCAAAGAGGTCATCTTTTCCATGGAAAACTTGACAGAAGTTAGGCTGCTGACATGTTAGGGTAGCTGTTCATTATGCTGACACATCTATCTCACTTCTCTGAATTCTTTGCAGCGGGGTACATTCCCATGCTTGTTCTTCAGGCCTCTTTTATTTTCTGTTTGCAAGATTGCTGGGAGAGACTTACTGTTCTGTGGCTGTAGAAGCTGCAGCACAAGAGGATATCCTGATACCAACTAATCCTAGACAGTGTGAACTGAAAATGATGCAGTGATGGCAAAAAGGCACGTTCCCTGCCTGCAGGCTCCTTTAAGGGTTGGGTGCTTGAAGTGCACATTGATCACCCCCTGAAAATGCTGGGCTTTCAGACTCTCTTTGTCTTTTGCAAAATGGAGCTTTTGACCCTGGAATGAGGTAGTATTTCCTGAATTAAAACCTTCTCCCTCTGCGAAATGGTGGTAAAATTCCCTCTGAATTCATGGAAACCAGAATCCCACCTTCAATGTAATCTTTAAGCTTGCTGTACACTACTCACACTTTGCTCCCCCTTTTCTACATACTTGTATCTACAACCTCTAACACTTGTTGATTACTTTGCTCCAAGTACAAGTGCACAAACTAACCTCACATATGCATTTTTTTCAGTTGCAAATTTTTTATAATATGACACTGGAGGAGAATGAGAGGGAGGACACCACTGCGCTACTGGAGTCTGCAAAATTTGAAAATACAGAAAGGAGAGAACTTCTGATGGAAGTTGCTGACTGGTTGCAGAAAAATATCAATGACTGATTTGAGGAAATGATTTCCAGTATATTTTAGTGCAATTCACTAGGATTTTGATGTTCATTTAAAGATTTAATTACAGCTAAAGCACACTTTTATGAGTTCTGCTATTGTCATCCCAGTTGGAAAGCTTGGCTAAACCAATTCACAATGAAAAGATTCATCAAGAAAAATAAGGGGATATATTTGCATATTGTATCTAATTACAAGATTAGTTGTTGGTAGAGAGATATTGCTAATAATAATATAAAATACTGATGCAATTCTAAAATGTTATTTAATGTCAGTCTCCAGTTCTGTGTTTGTAAAATGGAAAGGGGGTAATCATTTAAAGCAGTGCCATGTGACAAACCTACAAAGACGTTGAAGAAACTTTCTCAGTTGTCTCAGTGTAACATACTTTGGGTCCTGTCCCACAACAGCCTTGGTGTGTATGAACTGAATTCATGTGGGAAGAATTCAACCAGGAGATGAGCTCCTGCGTCATATCTAATACACTATCTGATGGTTATTCTATATGTGTGACTAGAGTGCAGTCAATTTAACACTTTTGAAATGTAAGTCTTCAACACCATATGTTTCCAATCTTACTGTCCTGATCTGCACACTAACATACAGGTTTAGCCATCTTGCATATGAAGTGTTTCGGAGACAGAATTCAAGCCATTAGTATCATTAAAATATATTAGCCTATGATTGAGGAAATATAGGGTTCTCAGTCTGTACAGTTTATTTATTTGTGTGGTAAAAGTTTGGGAACAAAAATGCTTTACTGGGGCTCTGGTTATTAAAAACAAAAAGCACACAAACAGGAAGTATGCACACAGCAGAAAACAGAAAGCACACAAACAAGGTAAATGCCACACTACGATGAGACAAGGAGTAAAAAATAGATCCAATGTACCACATTTCAAAATCAAACTTGTTAATATGAAAACCTTTTTTATTGATACTCTCTAATAACTTTGTTTCAAGGAAGTATATTGCAATAAATCTCCTTTGCTACCCAGCGTTACATGGAGGAATTAAAGCTTTTTTGAAGTTACTGGGAGATCCCTTCAGCATATGGGATGGAGCCAGGTTTGTGCTGGAATTCTTATTCGTACACAAGCTGTCTGAATAGGAGCAGTTTTGAATCTCTTGCTCTTGTGTTGTTCACACATGTATGTTGCTGGCTTGATGCAGGAATAGCTGTGCAATGCACTTCTTTGTGCTGTTGGGTACAAGTTGAATATGGAGGGCTGGAGAGGGAGAAATGGAAGATCCAACAAGGGAAGGGGAGACAGGAGGAAGAAATGCAGAGTGATCTGGGAATGCTGAGGGAGTTGGTCAGAAAGGAAGTTCACTGAAAAGTATGAGGCTGTCAGGACTTTGGCAAAGGAGCTTTTGGAGTCCTTATACAGACCATGTAGGTGCTACTGGGCATGCAGTTATGATGTGCTAATGTCAGTGAGAAGAGTGACACAGAGAGGCAGGACTGATTCAGCAGCCCCTGAGAGGGAAAGGGTAGTTATAAAATGATAAGAAAAGTCCTGCTGTAAGTTCTGTTCTCTTCCCTGACAGTGGGAAGTGACACTTGCTCTGCCTGTGTAGGGTGTGTGAGAGGCCAGGAGTCCTGGCAGGGAGAGGGAAGAAGCCATGGAGTGGGAAGAGGAGGGGAGATGGAGACCTGGCAGTAAAGCTGGGACCACAGGGTGCAGAGGTAAGAAGCTAGAGGGCCCAAAGGAGTGTGAGAAAGGAAGTGTGGGGAGCTGCAGGAGCAAGGGAAGACCAAGGCAAATGAAGAGGAGGGAGAGGCTGCTCTTTGCATGTCTTCCTTGTCCTGCTAAGTGGTTTGGTGATGGAGTCCTACCGACTCCAAGGGCTCTGGAGCAGGAGGGCTTCCTTGCCAGGAGCCATTCTGGATGATCACGCTATCTTCTTTTGAAGTATGTTTGTTTAGAAAGAATTGGATCCATGTTTCTGCCAAAACATATCTTATTTAATTTATTGCCCATCTCTGCAAACATTTATTTGCTAAGAAAATATAAAAGCAATTAACCTGGGACAGGTCCTTCTTCCCCTTCCGAAGGCTCTGTCAGTCACACACCTCCCCTGCCCCGTGCTGGTCGCAGCTGCGGGTGTCTCCGCAGCGTTGCGCTGAGTCGCATGGCGTCGCTGTGGGCGCTCCCGAGGCATCGGGGGGCGCAGGGCCGGCGGTGGAGCCAGCTCCATGCCGCCCGCAGCCAGCTCCATGCCGCCCGCAGCCAGCTCCATGCGTCCCGCAACCAGCTCCATGCTGCCCGCAACCAGCTCCATGCTGCCCGCAACCAGCTCCATGCTGCCCACAGCCAGCTCCATGCGGCCCACAGCCAGCTCCATGCCGCCCGCAGCCAGCTCCATGCCGCCCGCA